GAAAAGATTGGACATTTTCTATCACTGAGCTGTAATATCAATGCAACATATGGGTAACAATGAAAGCATTCATATTAGGGAAATTTATGGCAGTGAATACTCACATCGGGAAAACACTGAGCTTCAATTATGTTCAAACTCCAGATTCTAGAAAACAAAAACCAAAACAAGTTAAACCCAGAGTGTACAAGGAAGGAAATTTTAAGCTGGTATTTTATGCCACTTTTATTGTTTTCTGATTTTTATCTAATTCGAGTTTATCTTAGATGAGTCTTCTTTGAATCATCTAGGAGATGTATTCATTTTGCTTGTTCAGTGATTATATCTAAAGTTTCTTGAAAACAACTCTAATATCTAATTACATTGAACATTTCAATTGACCATATTTTTATAGAATTTCTAATCCTCTGAATTTTTATGTGGAGTATTGATATGGACTATAATATTTTTTATGATTGTCATACATATTTTGCATCATTTTTATCTCTTGTAGCCTTTTTATGAATGTCTTTTATAGTTTCCCTTATTATTTGAACCAAAATTTTTTATTAAAACTCTTTGTGCTTGCAAAATGCCTTGTTGTTGCTTTGTTATCCTTGCTGATATTGTTTTGAATAGTTCCCACTGTGACATTAGCTTTTTCCCATTATATGCCCCACTGATTAGCTTTGCAATAGTTGGGAGTATTTGGAGACATTTTATTGGCTGTTTAATCTCATGTTTATATATTTTGTTGATGTGGCTGCTATTGTTTCTTTGTTTTTGATGTGTTCAGGCTTGTGGGTTGATTGAAGTAGAAAGCTTTATTTTTAGTATGGAGATATTAGTTAATGTCTATTTTTCTGTGATGCCCTCTGGGCATGGCTAACAACTGGTCTTTTGTTCTGCCCCAAGTATCCAACCACCTCTGTTTATTTGAGAGATGGGATGTTGCAGTGTACTTAACTAGTTCAGTTTTCCAGGAATTGGCCATACTATTATTAGTGACTACAAAGCAATTCATATGTTGGTATTCCATGATCATAGTGACAGATATGTCATCTTAATTATAGTAATTAAACAGCATTAATTATAGCATCAAACAAATTGAATAGTCAAAAGTATAAGTACTAATAAAGCACCAATCTTTGCCATAGAAAAGAGAAATTTATAATAGTACAAATACTACTACAAGGCAAATATTGACTTACTCTCAACCTTCTGTATATGTCATTTAACTGAACCAACATTACCTCTACTAACAATAAAGCAGCATTCAACAGAAAGAGCATAAAATTAACTATCTATCTAGAGATTTAAATGCCTGCTATTAAGTTTTAGTGGTCTTGTTCTCTACTATTTTGTTCAACTTTATAATACCTAATGAGATAGACAATTCTTTTTAAGGAAACAAGAGGCATTATGGTAACCATTGTTGATAACCTTGTACTCTGTTTTTACATCATGTACTATGTCTATCCTTGGTTTTGACTGACAGCTTTGTTTTGCCATATTTGACTTTATTCTCTTCCAAAAAAAAAGTAAAGAACTAAGGAGTAATAAAACCCAAAATGTGTAAATTTTGTTGTAAAAAAGAGAGGGGAAAAAAAGTGCTCTAAAGGTTACAACTGCAAGTGTGTTTAGGGGTGTTAAATAGCTGACCATACTAATGTTTTTGGTTGGATCATTGAACACAACTGTTTGCGGACTCACTGTTTGAATGTCCACTTTGTATTTTTTGATACTGTGATTTGAGCAACTATCTCTAAGATGATAATATGTAATCTATTAACTGGTGATTTCTTACTGTTTTTTTTTTTTGTAGTTCTGTATTACTTGTACCCTTGCACCGCTTTGTTTTGTTTTGTTTTTTCTCTTTTTCCTTTTAAATAAAATTTTAAAAAATTTATAATTCAGTGAATTCTAAAAAATAAAATAAAATAAATGCTCTGCTATACTAGGAAAGATATAGAAGGTAGAGAGCCAGGCAATGAGAAAAACAAATGATTTTGAAAAAGCAATCAATGATACATGAGAAGAGAATATTGAGATGACATCATTTTAAGAACTAAATAGGAAATTAATAGTGATAGGAAACTGTCACAGGAAAAATAACAAGACAAAGGAGAAAAATAGTAAACAGAAAACAAAAACATTAAGATGAAAGTGATAAGGCAGAGAAAAATTGGAAAGGGAAAATGACAAATAGTGTAAAGAGACTAACAAAGGATGAATGCTAAACTGGAAAAACACTTGATGATTGAAAGATTTAATGGATACAAAAGAGACATTTTCTTTAAAAAACAACTGAGGCAATAAAAAATTTGCTGTATTATTGAGTGACCATTTTACACTTCAAGATCTGAAATCTTGGGATCCAGGCAGTCATGATTCTCCATTCCTATATTTAAGGCCTATAGTTCTTTGACACTATCTGCATCATAGACCCATTTGTCCATTCTTCTCAGTGCATGTTTGCCATCTCAACAAAGATATCCATGTCCCTCTTAGCAGATGAGGAATGTGATCATTCTCTGTTCTGTACTGGTGATAGACCAGTTTGGGTTTTCAAATGAGCTGCGAGACTTATGATCTACAGTCGTGGCTTCTAGTTTCTCTCTTTCCCTGGGCAGAGATAAGTAAGCAGATATGAATAAATAAACAAATAAATAAATGAATTTATTTTAAAATATATACAAATACATGTGAAAATAAAAACATTTGACAATTTTAGTATCCTTTTCTGTTGAAAATATTATCAGTGTAGTAATAGAAGGGAAATTCCTCAACTTAAAAAAGGGATATATAAAAATCCACAGGTAATATTTACTCCATATAGAAAGATTTTTAAAAATGCTAAAAAGGTCAGAAATGATAAAAGGCTCTGCAAAATTTTATTCAACATTGCTTTAAGGCTTTAGTCATTGTAAAAACACAATGAAAAGAAATAAACACAATGAAAGAGAAATAAAATGCATACAGAGTTAAAACTAAAAATAAAATTGCTTTTATTTTTGGAAAAAATTCATTGGCCTTAATTTTTAGAGAACATCAACATCCATTAGAAAAAGTCAAGAAAACTGATAAAGATTCAAATAAAATAAATAAAACTATACATAAACAAGATTTTAATAAACATTAATGACACTAGATTGATATTCAAATTTAACTCAAGATAGATCACTATAAAACAATATAACACTGAATAAACAAAAATCAAATAAATTTCTATATTAAAAATAATTGAAAACATGAAATTATTTGGAAAGTCTAAATTTAATTAAAATACAAAATTCTTTGGAATAAGTCTGATAAAAGATATACAAATATTAATACCCTGAAACCTTCAAAACTAAGCTGACAAAATTTGAGGAAGATTTAAATGAATATAAAGGTATACCTTATGTGGGTGTTATATTCACTGTGGATGAGATGTCATTTTTTTCTCAATTTTTAATAAATTCCACATGTTATGGATAATAGTTTGTTCATATGGCTTTGAAGCTAGCTCAGAAATTAGAAATGGAATCAAAAAGCTTTATCTATCCAAAATTAATATTTAAAAAAGTATAACTTGGATGATTAAATGACCTAATTATAAGTTACAATGTATTCAAAATATATAACAATCAAGACAATGTATTACTGCATGAAGATATACATGTTGATCACTGGGATGGCTTAGATGTTCCAGAAATAAATCCTAATATTCATAACCAATTAAATTCTCCAATGTTATAAGGAAACAAATCATATACTTTAAAATTATTTTGTTGAAAAAGAGGCTAAGAATTTGTATAAAATATTTGGATTCGTATCTTGCAACTCATATAAAAATTAAATTAATATTGATCAATTTTCTAAGCATAAATATAATGGTCTACATCTTTAAAAGAATATCATGGGAACATCTGTGAATTTTGAGTTTGATAAGGGTTTCTATAATAATTAAAATAATAAAATGATCACACAAATATCAGAAGAAATTGTTGTCTAATTTCCCACAAGAAATACTTCAATTATTAATATGAGTCTCAATTCGGGCATGTCGGTGCATGGCTGTAATCCCAGCACAGGAAATTCCTGGGCTATACAGTGAGTTCAAGAAAAAAATAGTAATTCTCAAAATGCAATAATAATATTAATAGAAAAATCTTTGCAAACTATTGGAGCACATACTTCAGCATAAAATTTACGGACTCAAATCAATTCTCATCCTTGTTCTGCATTTGTGAAATCCATATTATTTGTACAGTTAGACATATCACTCACCTGGCTATCATTTTAGAGAATTTATGATACCAGTTATTAGGAAAAGTGTGTAATTCTTATGTTATTGATGTAAGAATAAACTATATATGACCTTAGAAAAGAGACTGGTAGTTTTAAGGAATAAAATTCACACCTATCTCAATAATCTGCCTATCCCACTCTGATATTTACGAAAATGTAAGGCCCTACTGGTAGAAATAATTATGTGCAAATTTTCAAAAGAACATCATTCAGTATTAACCAAAGACTGGGGAAAAAAGAGAAGTTCAAAATAGGATGAATAGAAAAACAAATTGTTGTGTTTCTATACAGTATACTAACATTAAAAAATTAAAGTAAATTGAACTTTCTATACATACAAGAATAGGAATGAATCTAAAACAATTACCAAGCAATTACAAGGTTAGATACGTTGGTGTTGGGCGTGGGCCCTCCCTTTCTGGTGAGGGGGAAGGTGGTGGGAGCCCCCCGGGTGCCTGTGGGGTCGGTCCTTCTGTCCCATGTGCTCATTCTCTCCGCTGCGGGCTGTGGTGCCAGGCTCCCTGGGTAGCTGAAAAGCAACCTCTGTGAATGAAAACGCGCTCTCCTGACCCCCTTGGAGTTTCTGGTGTCCTCTGTTCCTTCTTGCTGGCTGGCCAGAGGCGACCCCGTCCGCCTCGCGCGGGCGGGGAAGTGTCGCGCCAGCGTCGGGGTGCTTGGGGGGTACCCTCCTCTGCTCGCCCGTCAAAAAAAATCAAACTCTCATACGCGACTCTTAGCGGTTGATGACTCGGCTCCTGCTTCGATGAAAAACGCAACTAGGTGCGAGAATTAATGTGAATTGCAGGACACATTGGTCATCCACACTTGGAATCACTTGCGGCCCCAGGTTTCTCCCGAGGCTATGCCTGTCTGAGCGTCGCTTGTCAATCAGTTGTGACCCTCTGTCTATCTCCCGGGGTCACGGGGCTGGAGGTTTCCTCGGCGGGACGAGTTGGTACGTCCTCCGTCCCCCGAAGTGCAGACCCGGTCAGCTCGCGCCTGCCTTGCCTTACCGGCCCGAGTGCACCCCACCCAGTCATCTGTTAGCGTGCGCGTGGGGCCTGGGAGGGAGCCGCTGTAATGTGATGCGGTGCCGCCATCGCCCACTGCCCTCGAGAGGGAGCAGTGTTCAGTAGAGAAGGGGTGAGCGAGAGCGGAGAGCCTCAGGTGTTGGTGTTGGTGTTGGTGTTGGTGTTGGTGTTGGTGGTGTTGGTATTGGTGTTGGGGTTGGTGTTGGTGGTGTTGGTGTTGGTGTTGGGGTTGGGGTTGGTGTTGGTGGTGTTGGTGTTGGTGTTGGGGTTGGGGTTGGTGTTGGTGTTGGGGTTGGGGTTGGTGTTGGTGTGTTGGTGCTGGTGCTGGTGTTGTGTTGGTGTTGGTGTTGTGTTGGTGTTGGTAGCGCAGTGGTCCGGGGGTAGGGGCGTGGCTCGCGGTGAGCCCACGCCCCATCGGGTGTCTGCCGCCCCCTGGCCACTGTCTGTCCCGGTGAAGGAGGGGTCCCTCGCACCACACGCGGGTTCCGGAGAAATGCGTGCCACCCCCGCCGGCATCGAGGCCTGTGGCGCGTGGGAGACCGCTCCCCCGGGGTACGCATGGCCCAGGCGGCTCGCGGGATGCCTGGAGGTCGTTTGCCCCCCCAAGCTGCACCCAGGCGTCGCACAGGGTCTCGCCGAGCGCCGTCAGTGGGCCCCGAGCCTCACCTCCCCACGGCTGGAGTTGGACAGTGTGAGGGACGAGGGGGCCATAGGCGGTCGCCAGCCTGCCGCGCTGAGATGCTGGGCAGCGTCTTAGTCTTGTTGCCCATCCCGAGCCCGCGTCGCGCCGCACCACCCGCGCCATGCGCGTTGTCTCCCACATTGCTGCTCGGGTGTTTGGTTGGAGCCCGGTGTCCCTCCGGCTCCCCGCCCTCCTGGCTCACCCCGTTTCCGGCTGCCCGGGAAGTCCGTGTGTACTAGTCGTCTCCCTCCTCCACCGCCACCGCTGTGGGGCGCGTTGCCCCTCCCCAGCTCTCTCTCTCTCCTCCTTCCTGCTCCTGCTCCAAATTCTCCTCTGGCTCACCGCCTTCGGCCCCCCCCCCCACTCCCCTCGCTCTTCCCTCTCCTCCACTGTTTTCTGGGGGTGGCACGAGATCTGGAGGAAGAGGGAGGAAAAGGGGGGTTGCGCTGGCTTAGCATGGCTGGTTGTTGGGTAGAGAGGTCGGGTGGGTGGCGTCGGTGGCGTTGTTGCAGGTTTTGAGAGAGTCTCGGTGTCGCGGCGTTCCGGCCCCGGTGGCGCATGGCATGGTGTTGTGGGCAGGTCGGAATTGGGGAAGGTGGGCCGCGGTACCCGGAACCGTGCGGGCCGGCGTCACCAGGTGTGCAGTGGCCTCTCTGGCGCCCTCCTCGGGGCTCGCGCCGCGCACCGTGCTGTGCCACTTCGCGTCATCCCCTCTCCGCCTCTCTCTCTCTTTCTCTCTCTCTCTCTCTCTCTCTCTCTCTCTCTCTCTCTCTCTCTCTCTCTCTCTTTGGTCTTTTTCCTTTTTATCGGTACCGGGGATCGAACTCACGACTGCCTGCTTGCAAAAGCCGCTGAGCTAAACCCCCAGCCCCACTCTCCGCCTCTTTCTCGGGCCGCCTCCTCTCTCCATTGGGTTTTCTGGCACTCCTGGATGAGATGACTGTGAGGATGACAATGACAGAGATGGCAGTGACCTCCGGTCCCATCTGTCTCGTTCGTTCGTCCGTCCTTCGGTCGGTCGGTCGTCCCTCTTCCTCCAAGACGCGACCTCAGATCAGACGTGGCGACCCACAGAATTTAAGGATGTTAGTCAGCGGAGGAAAAGAGGATTCCCTCAATAAAGGCTAGTGAACAGGAAAGAGCCCAGCGCCAAATCCCCGCCCTGCTGTGGGGCGTGGGGTATGTCGCGTAGGGAATTCCCACTCCCCGGTGCCGCTCGTGGGGGGCCCAAGTACTTCTGATCAAGGCCCAGCCCGAGCACGGTGTGAGGCTGGTAGCCGCCCACGGGGTGCCGGTCCGGGTATTCCCGGAGTCAGGTTGCTTCAGAATGCAGTCGAAAGCTGGTGGTAAACTCCATCTAAGGCTAAATCCTGGCACGGGACCGATAGTCAACAAGCAGTTTAAGGGAAAGTTGAAAACAACTTTAAAGAGAGTTCAAGAGGGTGTGAAACCGTTCAGAGGTAAACCGGAGGGATCATTGTTGTCCTCCAGAGCATTCAACTGGGCGGTGTGATCAGCCCTTGCCTGCGGTCTCCCAGGGATATTGCCCACCCCCCACCCCACCCCACCCCCACCCGTTCCTCTCCACTCCTTCATCCTTCTGCCCTCCCGCTACCCCGCCCCTCCTCTCTTGCGTGAGGGAGACGCGCTCCGGAGGAAGCTGGGGATCGGTGGTTGGGGCCGGGCGTGGGGTCTGCATGGGACGCACCCCAGCTGGGAAACCGCAGCCACCTGGCGCATTTCCAACAAGGCCCAGCGCTGAAAAGTGGCTTGGGAGGTCCCTGCGCATCGTTCCCATGGCGAGGGGGGGGTGTCCTCACCCCCAAGTGTTACTGGCCCCAGGCAGGAGCGGCTCTCCTCCCCGCCGCCTCTGGAACCCGGTCTACTGGTTCGGCCTGGTGTCGGGGCACACCCGGGAGGTTGGGAGGGGGAGAGCGGCCCGCTGGCCGGCCAGACCCCCGCTGCCCCGCTCCTCCACCCCACCCGCTGCCGCGACCACCTTCCCACTCCCACTTCTGCCTCTGTGCCTTCATGATGTGCTTCCGCGCATCTGCCCTCCCTATCCAGGTACCTATCCCGTCCCTGCGCTGAGGTTTAATGACCCCTTGTGGGGTGGTCACCTCGCCGGCCTTTGGGTCTGGGCAGCGGGGTCATGCTGGGGGCACTTGGTGGCCCGTTTTGAGAGGAAATTGGGCGTGAGAAGTCAGCACGTTGGTGGCACTGGTCCCCCATGCCGCTGTGCTCTCTTCTCCGCTCCCGTCCTCCCACTGCCCCTGCCGCAGCCCCCGCGTGTGTACACTTTCCCCGCCTGCCTCTCCCAGGTTTGGGCTGGGGTGCCACGTGCTACTGCTGTCCCAGACGGCCTGGCCAGGTTCCGGGTGTACCCGGCCGGTCGTCGGTGCCGCGTTGGTATTGGACACAGGCCCTCCCTTTCTGGTGGGGGGGAAGGTGGTGGGAGCCCCCCCCCCCGCGCGCACCTGTGTGGTTGTGCCTTCCAACCAGTGCGTTCCTCTGCTCTGCTGCGGGCTGTGGCGCTGGGCTTCGTGGGTTGCCAAAAAACCCCTCTGTGTGTGAAAACGCGCTTTCGTGACACCCTTAGAGTTTCTGGTGTCGTCTATCCCTTGTTGCTGGCCAACCCAAGGTGACACCTTACACATCGCGTGGATGGGGAAGTGTGGAACCAGCGTCAGGGTGCTTGTGGGGGGACTATCCTCCCTTCGCCCGTCTGAAAAGAAAAAAGTAAACGCTCACATACGACTCTTAGCAGTGGATCACTTGGCTCGTGCGTGGATGAAGAACACAGCTAGCTGGGAGAATTAGGGTGAATTGCAGGACACATTGATCATCGACACTTCCAACGCACTTGTGGCCCAGGTTCCTCCCCGGGCTACACCTGTCTGATAGTCGCTTGCTGATCAATCGCGACCCCCAGGCTGTTCCCCAGGGTCACGCGGCTTGGGGTTTCCTCGCAGGGCCCTGATTGGTGTGCCCTCCATCCCCTTAAGTGCAGATCCGGTCGGCGCACACCTGCCTCGCCTCACTGGTCCGGAGCTCACGCCCAGCCGCGTCGTCTGTCTGCCTGTGCATTTGGGCTGGAAGGGGGCCACGCGTCGTTTGGTGCGGTGCCCGCTGCCCTCAAGAAGGAGTGGTGTTTGGAAGAGAAAGGGCAAGCAAGAATGGCATGTTGATGCTGGGGAGGGCGACCATCTGGGGTGGGTGGTTGCTCGTACTGAGCCCGCACCCCGCTGTATGTTTGCCACCCCCTGGCCACGGTCCCTCTCGGTGGAAGAGGGGTCCCTCGGCCCCATGCGGGTCCCAGAAAAATGCGTGCCGACCCCTGCCAGCTTTGGCCTCGCCTCGAGCCCGTGGCGCGTGAGACCGTGCAACCGGGGTACGCTTTACCCCGACGCCTTGGCGTCATTCATCGTCGTGCGCTGTGCCTGGTCTGGCGCGCAGTCTCGAAGAGCTATGTCAGTGGGTTCCGAGGCCCTGCCTCCCCTCGGCCGAAGGCAGACTGTGTTGGGGGCAAGGGGGCCATAGCTGTTCGCCGGCTGGCCGCGCTGAGGTGTTAGACGGCGTTTTTGTCGTTGTCGCACGTCCGGAGCACGCAGCGCTGCGTGTGCTGTGCTTGTGGTCTCCCCCTCATTGCCATTAGGCGGGGGGGGGGGGGGGGGGCTTCAATTCCGGTGTCCCTGTGGCTCGTTCTCTCCAGCTCCAGCTTTGCCCTCGTCTACTTCTCATCTCCGTCCGCTCCCCCTCTGCCGCCACCCTGTGGGCGCGTCCCCCCTCACCGGCTCGCTCTCTTCTACTGCGCTCCCTCCGCATTCCTGCTCCTGCTACTCCAACGCCTCCTCTGGTTTGCCTCCTTTCCCCTGCTCCCCACTCTCTCCCCCTTTGGGGGGGGGGTGACACAGGGTCGGAAGGACGAGGGAGAAAAGGGAGGGTTGCTTGGCTTAGCCAGGCTGATAGGCGGATAGGAATTTCAGGGAGGGGGGTAGCGTCTTTGGAGTTTGAGGTGGTGTTGGGGTGTTCTGCGGCATCCTATTGGGGGCAGGTTGAGACTGAGGAAGTTGGCCCACGGTGCCCGGAACCCTGTGGGCCGGTGTCATCGGGATTGCTGTGTCTTCTCCCGCGTCCTCCCCGGGCCTCGCGACACACACCGTGCTG